GTTTTTCAGTTCCGTTTCGTAAGCGGTGAAACACCTATAGCTCAGCTGATGCTCGAACTGAAACGGGGTTTCCCATTGGCCATCGTCGTCGACTACTTACACGATGCAAAATGCTACCAAGTCATAGGTATAGTTACTTTGGAAGACAACTTGGAGGAGGTGAGATTCAAGACTTTCTGTTAGGTCTCCCAACGGGGTTTCTTCTTATTCACATCATTCAGGTAATCGGTGAGATCTACGATGAGAAGGATCGTGCTATCGAAGAGAATATTGAGAAAGTGGAAAGAGCTATACCTCAGTCGTTGCCGCAATCCGAAATCCATTTAGCACCTGAGCTTACGGTGAAAATTGCCAAGAAGAGAATTGTCAAAAAGGCTTTGGAGGTTTGTCTGTGTTCGGAAGTCATCCCCGTAGCTTTCGAATGTCAATTTGTCAAGATGAAGCTCGAAAAGCGGCAAAAGAGGTTGCTACTGCTGTCTGGGGCTCAAATCTCTTTATCCTCACGATGTTCATAACAACCATTGGCATGGCGCATCCCTGGCTATGTGGAGCAGTACCAAAGACCTCTCCGTCATCTTCGGTCTTGACTAACCGTTTAATAATTACCTTTTAAGGAACAAACCCCAGAAGCAGCACCTCTCCTGGCAATGGCACCTTCTAAGCGCAAAGCTTTCGGGTTAAGCACTTTTTGAAACCGTATTATTTGCATTTTGTGTTCAGCAAACACAGCCGGATTTGAAGCCATAGAATTCCGTCAGTCGTAACTATATCGAAATCCGAAAATAACTACAAAGGCAGATGTGCCATCTTATCGGTTTTAAATGAATAAATTTGACATTTTCATGTTTTCTTTGCCTTTAAATAATGTAAGTGGAGGCTCGAGGAGAGTATCGTGGGAAAGCCATCTACCATAGTACAAATTTGTAAAAAATGACATGGTTTTCTCCCTCTGCATCGAAACACACCACTCAAGCGTTACCCTGTTTCGATACGAAATTAGCAAACTGTCACTGAACAGAAATGTCCTTTGAAAAAAAGGGTTCTTCACAGCAAACATCACCCAACAACTATCTAGCTAATTCATGACCTTCCTGCAGGGACAATCAGCTATCAAGCGTTCAAAATAAAATCAAAAATTGGACGTAGGGGCAAAAATAAGACCCAAGATGCAGAAACTCCTTGATCCTTCCCATCGCGAAATAGCTCACAGGCAATAGTAACCGAAAAAAGAAGTTCTACAGAGTTCAAACCACTACTTCAATTGCAACCCAAACAAAAAGGGTAGGGGGCACCCGGATTTGAACCGGGGACCTCTCGATCTGCAGTCGAATGCTCTACCACTGAGCTATACCCCCACACCACCCTATTTCTGATCTCGCTATAATCATTTCCTTTGATTGCCTTACGGCCGAACAAATAAATTGCGAACAGAATAAACGAAACGAGCCAATAGTGACCGAAGGAGATCTGTCTTCTTATTGGCGACTAACAGCAAAATCCATTTTACAACGTCTGAGAGGATGAACAGAAATTTCTTTCACAGAGGAGTTCGAGGATAGGTAATACTGCAGACCTACCGGTTAACGTGAAAATCCCAAACTCGTTAATCCAATCAGAAAAGACCGTAGACGTATAATAGTTGAAATGCTAATAATTCAAAGTCAAGAAATAATTCAAAGTGAATGCCTCACTTGAGTTACTCTTATTCTGAGCCAAATGGAGAGCCACCATCAATGACTACAGAACGATGTCTCCAAAAAATGATTTTCCTTGCAAATATTACCATGCAAAGTGTGGACATCCACGAGACCCCTTCCAAGTGGGCGTGGAATTGAGTATAGTTTTGACTGAATCAGTTTGAAAGTTCAAACTTTGATGACTTATTTCGAAACGCCGTGTAGACGTTAGTAACTTGAATAATGCTAGAAAGGTTTGTTCAGCTTAAGTCGACTATTCAACAGCAAACCATGCAAAAACACTAGGGGACACCCGGATTTGAACCGGGGACCTGCAGTCGAATGCTCTACCCTTAGCTATACCCCTATATAACATCGTACCCATTCCAGCAATCATCATTTCTTTTGATTGCTGTACCGTCAAACAAACAAACCGCGAAAGGAATAAAAAAGCTCGAAGAGTGGCCGAATAGAATGTTTAAGTGACAGCGTACTACTAATCGCAAAAGCGATCGTACCAACGAATGCCCACGTGCATGAAGTACCGGTGAGTTTTCCCGCTGATTCCTGATTGTTCAGTACGAGCAGCATATGAAGTTTAAAAGGGTTCTAGACTTCTGAGGCTTTTCGTTTTATTCTCTTTGCTCAGGTTATCTACAGAAACAAAAAATACGACTTTAAAACAGCGAATGTCGCCAAGCAATGGTCGAAATGGTCTCAAAAACCCCTCCGACCAGACCCTAGGCTTGAGCCGTTATCGGTCAAGCCAATAAGTGTGAAAATACATTATAGATTCGTTAATCTGTTCCGAAAAAAACGCGTAGGCGCGTAGCAGTTAAAAGAACAAATTGGATGAGTTCATCTACGTTGAGATTACTCTTTTTCTGTCCGGAACAAATGAATAATTAATAACAAGAAATCGATTATCATGAAAAACCGGGTTTTCATAGCTAATACTACCTCGCAATTCTATAGATAATTAAAAAGCTCTCTTCAAATGAAAGTCAATTTAAATAAAAGTCAGAGGAAGTGTTTCTGATTAAGTTAATTAGTGTGAAAAATTAGGTTTTCGTAATCTATTTCGAAAAGGCGAGAGGACGCTAATAACCTACAGAAAGTGCGAGAAAGGATAAGGAATCCTTAGTGGGATGAAGACAAGTCAACCCAACCAATGGAAAACTGTAAGGGGCATCCGTGTTTGATCCGGGACCTCTCCATCTGCAGTCGAGTGCTCTACCACTGAGCTATGCACCAACGTGACACCAATTTCACACTCTTATTTATCACTTTCTTTTATTGTTGTATTGTGAAATGAATAAACCGCGATCGAAACGAAGATACAAGCGAGGAGTGACCAAACATATCACAGGGTGTCATGGAAGTGTGAGCACTACTTTTTATAAAATCATAATTATACGTTTGCTACCCGATCGAGGTTTCGAAGGGGTCTGTTGGACGCACTATTTCAGGCCATGATACTGGCGAATTTATACATGCACCTACCGATCAGTTAGGTTAATGCCTGACAACTCGCTGCAAAAAAATGAACTTCGACGCCAGCCTTAGAAATCAGTATTACCTACATAGTAGTTATCAGCATGACTTCAAAAAATCCTTTCAAAGGAAGACCAGAGGAAGAGACATTCCCATCTAATCCCACCTGAGGTCTAGGTATTCTCATATGTGCTTTAATAAACTTGCGTAGGCGCGCAACAATCAAAACACTATAGAGTACAAATTGGGAACTCTTGAAATAGTAAATTGCTTTTTTTCAATGCGAAACAAATGGATCATCTAAATATAGCCGAAGATTGATTTCCACAAAAACCGGGTTCTCAATTACCTCGTCATTACCTGAACGATTTTAAAATTCGCGAGAATGGGGGTGAGATAACTGTTTCCGATTAAACAAACCAATTATAGCGAAAATTCACCTTTATTCTATTTCGAAATGATGTGTAGGCGTTAATAAATCGAAGCGTGCTCAAAAGGTTGACGATCTCTTAATCAACATTTCAGTTACAAACCGAACAAAAGTACTAGAGGGCAACCATATTTGAACCGAGGACCTCACGATCTGCAGTAGAATGCTCTCCCACTGAGCTATACCCCACATCAACTCCCTCCAATAGCTAATACATTACGTCTTTTATTGATGTATCGTCAAACTGACAAATTTCAAACGAATTAAGGAAACCAACGAAGAATGACCGAACAGTATACATACATAGTTCCCGATTATTGGTGACTAACTGAAAAAGCCATCACACGGACGAATTCTCTCACCCATTCACTACTGATTAATCTTTGTCTTCATGCTTGACTATTCCATACCTACGGGAGCATGCAGTGTTAGAGACATCTAATTCTGGATTTTTATTTATTTCGCTAAGACTCAAACATCGATGCAGTCCTCAGAAAAAATAGACATTTTCTAGCAGTCATCTGAGTAGTTTCGGCAGTTCCCTCAGTGAGAGTCGGATATGTAATTTCAACTCATCCTATTAGGCTGAAAATAGAAGCCTCAACGAACTATTTCTAAACGATATGTAGGCGTTAATAACTTGAGGAATTCTCAACGTATCAAAAGAGCATAAGTGAACGCTTCAACTTCAAACCCTGCAAAACGACAAGGGGCACCTGGACTTGAACCCAGGACTTCTCAGGACTCCTCGATGTGCAGTCGAAGCTCTATCATTGACCTATACTCCCAAATAACACAATGCACGATTTCTGGAGCACCATGTTGTTGTTTTAGGATACCATCCAAATAAAAAACTGACTGAAAGCAAAACGACTAGGGGGCACCCGGATTTGAACCGGGGACCTCTCGATCTGCAGTCGAATGCTCTACCACTGAGCTATACCCCCACATTGAATCCGTCACCATCTCGCGTTAATCATGTTTTCCCCCGATTGCTCCGTCAATCAAACAAACCGCGAATTGAGCGAACGACGCGGACGGAGAATGACCAAACAGAACGAGACCGAGTGCAGGGTTGAAAGACTGACGTTCACGACCACTGGCATAGTTTTGGAGAAGTTCCATGGAGTTTGCTTGGTTTAAGTATGACATATCGCCCCTAAGTAGCTGGTACATACCCGGGAAGGTCACTGTCCAGTGTCTTAGGTCTTTACCTAGGCCTTATTTGGAGATTCATTCAAGAAATTACAGCATAACTTTCCGTGGAGGCTTCAAAAGGAGGGTATTTTCCTATGATCAAAAAAATTCTTGAAAAGTATCTTTGAAGAAGTGTTCACTACACCATCCACGAAATAACATCAAAGCACTGAAGTGATAATCCTTATCGATCAATTACAAGTTGTGACTTCATCAGACACAGCCAAATACACTACGTTACATTAGAATCATTCAATTGGGAGGAAGTCTGTGCTGATATAGGATCACCGACTCGTGATGGGCCGGAATTCACGTTGTTCCAGTCTTTTAGCTCATCTCAAATGGCGCATTTCGAAAAGGAAAGATTTCGAAAAGCCCCTTCAGTGAGCTCTCGTTGTCCGGGAACTATTTCGAATATCGATGGCTTAATAAATCATTCGAAGATGAGCATTATCATTGTAATGCCCGGGAAAATCCAACAGCAGCTTCACAAAACGATGTCAAACAGAAAACAGTAAAAATTTAGGTAGTCAATTAACAAAACAATAAATTGACGTAGTGGACGGGATGGCCAGAGGCGTTCTGCAGCTCCTTAGAACGTAGGGTATGGGTAAGTGGTAAAGCTGACATATGTGTGGGTCAGAAATAATATCCCGTATCGATCCCGCTCAGGGCAAGGCTTTTATCCCTCCTGGTTCGACTGAGAGAAGAGTTCGTGGCTAGTACATGGTACGTCGGCTGGCCCCGCAATCCATAGCAAAGGCCAAATCAGCCTTCAAATGCTACTACAATTCCGAATGGACAGCATATGCGTGGGCACCATCAAAATTGAGAACAAAACCTTCATCCATTCTCCTTAATAACAAAAGGACAAAGTCTCCCACGTGCTCAATCCCGTTTTGGTATGTGCCCCCGCATTCGACTTCCAATTAGAATTGCAGCGTCTTTTTGATCACTTGTGTGGCTTCTACGATGGATTACGGAGTACAGCCAATGAGCAAGGCAATGCCTCTTCCTTCCAATGAGTCTGGTAACAATTACCCAACCCCGGGGGCAGGGTCGTAGGTCTCGTAGTCTGAGCGAATACCGATCTGGGATTCGGACCGCGATCCATGCTTATGTTACAGTGCGCCACATGCAACTGCACCATCTGTGCCTTACTTCCTAGATATTTTAAATCCCCTAGAAAAAGACTGTTTATTCATATGTGAAAAACCCTGCATTCCATTTCTCATTTCCAAGGTTTTTCTTCTTTTGTTAGTCGTCACTGTATTCTGTATCAACTGTAAAAATCTATTACATATCGCTGTGATTCACCGGAAAGTCTCTCCTGGCGACATTTGATGAAGCCGAGAGGAAAAAGTCGGCCGCCAAAAACACTATTCTATGAAAATCTTCGTGATCAGAAATTAGGAAGCGGCCTTTTTTGCTTCAGATTGCCCGCAAACCTTTCCATACTAAACTGCCCAGATATTGCAGTCCTATCCTAAATGTAAGGTGCAGATATCTGACTAATCTGAGCACATGATTAATGGCCACAGAGAAGTATTTCTCATCGAATACGGAACTCCATTGAACTTTCTTCTTGGCATACTTGACCTTGGTCCTATCTTGAGTAACACGCAACGCAAAACGTTGAACTTCAGAACATGGAAGGGCAACCTAATATAAGTCATTAGGGAGCCCGAACCCTAATTTAGGCGAGAAAGACAGGTTGGACTACTACTAAAGAAACCAATCGAAGTATTTTACCCATAGAGAATTCCTATTCGCACCACCGCGTATAAAGGTCGGGTAAACAACACACAAACAAGATACCCAATTGTACGGCAGGATCAGGGTTATCAGTAGGCGATCTTTGGATCGAGCGATCAGTTGCTTAGTTCTCCAACAACTTTGCAATCTGTTCCCTTCCGTGGACAAGAAGAAGTCAACCGTCACAGATGCCGCATCTCTCGCCACTGCGTCCTCTCCCAATCTTCCGCTCGATCCTAATGCGCTTTCAAACGTTACATCGCCTCAGCGGGAAAGCGAATCTGTAGCACGTTCCTAGGAGATGATTCACGACCATCATCTTTGGTCTGAGCCGTTCAGACGAGTCCAACCTTACCATTCCCACTCCAGCAAAAGATTCAATGCCTCCGCTCCTTGGAAGGAAATCATTCTCAATCTCCGGATCAGATGAGTCCGAGAAGTTGTTCATCCAATACTATACTGACAGGTTTATAAATAAACCCTGGTCATCCGATCACAAGGTTAGGAGTAATGCATCATGGCTATGTTTTTGGAATCTAATGCTACCTATTTGCTGCAGACACATGAAATGGGTTCCTTGAAAGCAGGGTTCAAACTGAGCTTTCTAAAAAAGGCAATCCTCTCCTATTTCCAGTAACATCATCTAAATTTCGTGGTTTTTGTGATCATCGTACTTTGCTCACATAGACGTTTGCGGTGATGACATTTCATCTAACACGATCCCTCACAAAGATAGCGGCATCAGCACTAGCAGTCGGAAAGGGCGGTACGACTGGGCCGGGTCTCTGTATAAATGAAGCGACAACAATCATACTTACTCGACTTTCATCGATGATATATGACTGTCGACGTTATGGTAAGTCTTTTAGACATAAATAAATACTTTCATTCCAAAACAGGTCCAAACACTTGCACTAGCGAATCCTGTACGAGACATAACTATTGTAGGGAAATTTAGAACACGAGCAAATCTCCCAAATAAGGATCCGGAGGTGGTGTTAAGCCAAGAGGTGCCCATCACATGTATGATCGTATATTGATATTTGCCCCGGCAAGCGAGCCTTCTTCCTCTTCGTAGTCGGTTAGTTGGCACCAGAATCGCCTGCGAGTTTGAAAGTACTGACCCGTTGGCTATCCATCGCAAGTCATTGCCCAAAAAGGAAGAGGTTCCAGTCAGGCCACATATCCATCCAAAATGTCACTGTGATTATTAATGCAAGTCAAATGCGGAGGGATCTTCTGAAAAGGGCATTGATCAAGGCCAAAAGACGGACTACTAAGTGTTCGACCCTGGGACCGTAATATCAGCCCGATCAGATGATATCTGAGGTCTTCGTTGGGCTAACAGAGCCCGTGCTCTAACAAGTGGAGTAGGCTTCAAAATGGGGTATTTGACTGTAGAAGCATGCGAATGTTGATCTTCAAAGACATTTGCCTTTTCGGCACTTCCCACCCTTCGGTATAGATACATTGGACAGTTCTAATTGTTGAAGTTATAATAATATATATGTACTACGTTTTATTTTTATATGAGATAGAACAATGTGGATTCGTTGAGTTTAGAGATGTATGTGTGTGAACAGTTCTTTCTGCATCATTATTAAAGTACGCAGTAACATTAATAATGTTCATTTTGATAGAGTCAATAATGAGGGCAAAGAATGAACTTTTTTTTTGTCCAATAAATAAAGATTTGAGATGCGCCCACGCACTTTTTCGCAATTGACAATTACCGCTTTGAGATGCACCCACGCACATGGCTTCCGTTTATAATCACAGCAGCACTAGCCACACCTCGGAATGCCTGGAACTTTTGAGACCCTCTATATTTTATTAAATGAGATTTTCATTTCAATTTAATTTATTTTCACAAAAATATTTTTTTTCAGGAACGTCAGCATAGACATTTCCATCTTCACTAACAACGACAAACCAACCCCACTACAACGGCAACAGTTCAACTCCTCAAACCGGTGCCAAAAGCCCCCATTACGAGCGGGTTTGGTTGCCGTTTTGAGGTGTTGACAAGCCGGTTCACCTTATGACCTCATCCCTTTGTCAGTAGCCATCAACTCTCTCTGGGATAACACCTCTCTTCAGCGTGACCGTCATGAAGAGGAGCGTTGTCACAGTGAGGGTGAAAGTGGCTGAATGTGACTCTTGCCTATTCAATAAAACACAGAGTGCGACACCGTTCAGATGTTTTTGTCTCCAGTACAATGCGATTGTACCGGGATATGGAACGTCTGAATGGGGTCGTACGTTACCCAGACGTACCCAACTCAACTTATCGCTCACTAATCTACCACAAGACCTTTCCAAAAAGGAATGGCGTTCTTTGTCCATATTTCAGGTTAATTGAACTTGGAAACGATTCTCTGGTTCCACAACTAACGAAGCTCTACGACCCTATGTAGACCACCTCTCAGTGTCTCTAACCGTTGCCAAAATCAGCGAGATTGCAGGATTTTGGTCGGTGGTTAGAGCCACTGGGAAGGTAACCATCATTGCAAGAATGGTCTCGATCCTTTGTAGTAAACCGAAGGAGTCACCGCATTTCTTTCATGATTATGGCTATTGCTGCATAATCACACCAAGAAGTGCGGTAGTTCTTGGTTTATACACACACCCTGTTTCCCTCAGGTTCTCCAGATGATCAGACAGAAACCATTCGGATGCACGGTAAGCGGGATCTATTTTTAAGTTATTCTAGTGATGCATTAATTTAAAAACAGATAAAAATGATTAAGAACTTATAACTTGAATAATGTGAATCATGATTCCCCACAACTCCATCAATCCCGAGAGTTAAGCTTTCGCTTGCATTCTGTAGAAGACAGCGAAGTTAAGCAACTAAGGTAGAAATAGGTATCGACCGGTTAGAGAAGACCAAAGTGGACACGCAGTAAGCTTTGTTCGTGCAAAGCGAACGGTTCCGATTAGTCTAAAAAGGATTCAACTGGATTCGCAAGAGGATTTCCGCTGTATGCATAATCATGGGAGCCCTATACAAAGAGCAATCCCCAGATATGGCATATGGGCTGTATTTCATTTCCCCCAAGGGTCATCATCTTCCCTTGATTCGAGAACTAATATATAACTCCCCAAAATATGAATTCCCGTCAATGATTTCAGGAACACTGTGCAGTGAATCAGATTTGGTCGATCGATGGGAAAATGTAAATATTTAAAGGTTGTTGGAACATTGCCCACATGTTCCAAAGGATCTCCGACGAAACGAATTCTATCCACACTCCTTGACGTGAGCTTTTCATGCAAGCATGGAACTGCCGTACAGTTTTCTAAAGTATAAACAAAATGATAATGACAACTTATACTTCCAGATAATCGCCATGGGACGGTTGTATACAAGATGAGCTTACCGCTGGTAGCTATCTGTGTGAGTGCTTACATCAATATTTTCGAGCTTTGAAAGTATGTTTCATGGAGATTTCTAGAAGAACTTCCTTGACTACAAGGATGATTAGTGCCCATATACTTCTACATAATTTAAAATATCGACTCAGCACCAGATTTACCGACAATCCCATAGCACTGCCCTTTTCGACAATCCTTCGACCAGTGTTGTTTGATCTTTCACATAGCCCATCTAAAAAAGCGCAAAAAACCTGGGGATCGTCGAATCGTTTTAACCTACGCTTAAATTTCTCAGCTCACCTATTCCTGTACCCCTCGGCAATTCTTCGAAATGAAAACGTTTCAGACTTGTCTCGGATTATTTCTTTACTTTTGTATCGTGATCTTTTTGGATGGTCTCATAGCTCGTCTGTTTCGTTCCCAGAAGAATTACGCCACCTACGCTAGAGAGGATCGTGTGGGTTTTCTTTCGCATATACTCTAGTTTCGTTTTTAAATATAGTCATCGAGTACTTATTTTTACTAGATTCCCAAAGTTGAAGCAAAAGATATTTCAGTGTGTCGCCGACGGATCAAGCTTTAAATCAATGGTCAGCATGGACCCGCTGCCTATCCGAGCAATGGTCAGCATGGACCCGCTGCCTATCCGAGCTCCCGTGGAAGCTGAATTCAATGCGGATGATGAGAAGAAGGATTGACTTACAATGAGGGATGATACCTACAAACTGTTGGAGAATTATGTATGTTAAGTTTCATAATAGATAAAAAGTTACAGAACTCCATCCTGGCTTGGCTTCTGTGGTTACCTAAGGAATAAGCAGAGAAAGTCGCTACGTACTTTAAAGGCACAGTTCACGATGAGAATGGTTTCTGAGAGTCCCCCCACACGATGAATTCGAGTCCCCTGCACATAGCATATCTGGCACTATTAGGTCGGAAAACGACCTAGTAAGGGAGTTATAAAGG